TTCTTCAGCAGTTCAGCTCAGGGGAAGTAAATAGACTTCTTCAGCTGAATCTAGGGAAGCTGTTTAAGGGTACAAAATAATACTTGAATATTCCCCCCTACTCCAGTCCCTTCTCAAGGACAAGAAGGTTGTCAGCTATTCTTCCCCCAAAGTGCTGTGGAATCTTTTTTCTTTTTTTTTTCCTAAGCATACTCATGGAGGATTCTGCTGGTCTCAGATGAGGCCATGGAACATGAAAGCTGACAATCTGAAACCGAATGAATGTGAACATTGTTATCCTGGTTCTTTGCTGAAACACTAATAAACAAGTGATGACAGGAGGCTGGATAATGCATCTACATCTTTAGGAGTGTGAATAGTAACTAAACTGAACTAGCAAGCTCTATGGAGTAAGACCCCAAAAGTGGAAGATGGAAGACCTGACAGCAGGGATGATGTCTTCTAAAAATGCTCTTGTCTGGGCTGTTTGTTGACAAACAGTTCAGGGTTAGCTGGACTGTAACTGCTTTAGAAACCAGCTGATGAACAGGAGAGCTGTAGAAGCACAGGATACTTGAGCACCTTCTCAGAGCCACTGTTTTTGATGCAGCTTTTGATGGCAGCTGTGGCAGGGGAAGTACTGGCAGCAGGTTTAATAAGATACTAATTTGTCATGGAAATGCAATGTTTGCCTGATTGTTAAGAGTGGAACATGCAGGAGAATGGGATTATATGAAGTGGGCATTGTTTCTATCCGAAGTCTGCAGAACAGCTGAGGTTAGAAAGGATCTGTGGAGTCAGTCTAGTCCAGCAGCCTATCCTCAAGGCAGGGTCAGCCAGAGCAGGTTCCTTGAGGTCATGTCCAGACTGTTCTCAGTTGCCTCCCAGGGTGGAGACTCCAGCCTCTCTAGGCAAACCTATTTCAGTGTTTGACTGCTGTCATGATATTTTAAAAAAGTAATCTTTTGTTTGCAAGAAATATTCTGTATTTCAATTTGTGCTTGTTGCCTATTGCACTTTTACTGGGCCCTGCTGAGAGTAGCAGGCTCCATCTTCTTTATCTGCCCCCATCAGGTATTCATACACATTAGTAAGGTTTCCCTTGAACCTTTTCTTCTCCAGGTTAAACAATCCCAGCTTGCTCAGCCTCTCTTCATATGTCAGGTGCTCCAGCCTGTTAGTAATTTCTGTGGCCTTCTCTTCACTCATTCCAGTGTGTCTGTTTCTCTTGTACTGGAGGCTCATAACTGGATACAGCACTTTAGGTGGGTCTAACCCCTAGTTAGAGGGGAAGTATCACCTTCCTTGACCCACTGGCAGTGTTTTTCCTAGCATAGCCCGAGGTGCTGGTCGTGGCCCTTGCTGCAAGGGCCCATTGCTGTCATGGGCAGCTTGCCCACCAGGACCCTCAGGTTCTCTTTTGCAAATCTACCTTCCAGGCCTTTGATCTTCAGCATGTCCTGGTGCAAGTGGTTGTTTCTTCCTGAGTGCAGGACTTGGCATTTCCCTTTGTTGAATTTTGAGGTTCTTGTTTGCCCTATGCTGTTGAGGTCTGTATGAATGGCACCACAACCACATGGCTCATTAACAGTTCCTTCTAGTTTTGTATCATCTGCAAACTGTGGAGGTGCACGCTGACCTGTCATCTAGGTCACTAATGAAGATGTCGTACAGTTGAGTTCTTTACCCACTGAAGCAGAAAAGGTGCAAGATTAATTTTCTGCGTAATTGGTTGTACTGCTTTATATTTTCCTATGTTAATAAGCTTCAATATAAGTTGGTTTTGAACACAGCTTTGTGCTGTGATACTACAAGTCAGTACTTCTGTCAGAACTTTGAACATGTAGCAGTAAAGGCTGTTCATGAAAGTGGTTCAGGCAGAACTTAAGAAGGACAGAAGTGACAACTTGTAACATCTAGTTCACTGTCAGTACATCAGTGTAAAAAATACATGTAACCATGATAGAGTCACAGAATTGTTTAGGTTGGAAGGGACCCTAAATGTTGTCTTGTCCCACCCCCTGGCCATTGGGAGGGAACCTTCCGCTAGAACAGGTTGCTCAAAGCTGCATCCAGCCTGGCCTTGAAGACTTCCAGGGATGGGGCAGCCACAGCTTCTCTGGACAACCTGTGCCAGTGTTTTACCACCCTCACAGGGAAGAATTTCTTCCTAATATCTAGTTTAAACCTACTTTCTTTCAGTTAGGAGCCAGTCCCCCTTGTCCTATCGCTATGTGCTGTTGTGAAAAGTCCCTCTCTAGGTCTCTTGTAGGCTCCAGATTGTTACCTGATTTGTGAAGTGCTTTTGAAGCAGAAGGTTGACTAAGTAAGCTAAGCCTGGACATCGGTAACAGTCAGCTCTGCATTAACTCATTGTGAACACTTACATGTCATGCTTAATCCATCTTCAGACCAGGTGCCATGACTCACCGAGCGCCGATGTCCATGCTGAACATTCTTTCTTGTGTTGAATAATCCACTTCCTGTTTTGACACATCATGTGCGTTTGTCAGCAAACAAGTGTGACATCTCTTGTGCTGCTGTTGTTCTTCTGGACTGGGCTCTGTGCTAAGGAACACCCTGTTCTAAGAAAAAGAAGTTTGACATTGCAAAGCAGCTGAAGTAGGAGTTGGCTCCTGTTGGTCTCTTTTCCACCCCTGCCCACTCACTGTAAAACATATTTTAAAGTGATTAATGAAGAAAACACAGTAAAAGGCAGTAAGTAACAGCATGGCTACAAGCTAGAGATGTTGCTTGGTTATCAGTGTTCCTTTGTGCCTGTAGGAAAATGCTTCAAGAAAGATAATTCTCAAGCATCTTACAGAAGATCTGCAGTTAGTATCTTCAAAGCAAATACTTCTGATGTTGCAATTCACAGTTGCAGCATACTTGATTTGTAGTGTTTTCACAGCACAGTGGCCTGTGATTTTGCAAGCTTGGGTTGTGTATGTTTTCTGGCATAGAAATAGTATGTATGGTAGATAGCATGTTGGGGTCTTTAAATGTTGGCGTAAAGCAAGAATAGCTGTGAAATGTTTGATTCTTTGCATAGGGAATGTTTTTCAAGAGTTGGGAAACAGGAGTAAAGATGAGCTTCAAACATTTGCTGGATATTATAATGGGAGGAAAATGGTTCAAGGCTTAGTGTGATAGGAGTAGAGCTCTTGCTGGATGTTATGGTTACCTAGTGTGAAACTAGGTAAAACTAAAGTAAAAGAGGTAATACACTTAGTAGCACTTTGGTCCATCATATACTCTGATGTGAGTCTGCTGATTTGAATCAATAATCGTTAATTATTTGTCTTAGCAGAAATGCTGTCACTTCAGCTGTAATGGATTATTTTGGGAGCAATCTGATTGGAAATGGGATCTTAGGCCTTAAGGCTCCAGCCAGGATCATGGTGTCTGGACTGTGCGAACACACACAAGGACGACAACCTCTTATATTTAAAGAGGTGGCACTGTGATTAAAATGAACAAATATTTGGAGAAGAAAGAAGGATCAAAACAAATGGAGAGACTGTCTCGGGACACAGACCTGCTCTGTGGCCTTAGCTTAGCAACTCAGGTGCCTCTTCGGACAGGAAGGAATGCTTAGCTTCTTGCTAGTAGTCCAGTATTTCTACCAGAAGAAGAAAAGCAGAGACGTTTCTTTTGAGGCAGGACTCCAGGATGACAGCTATAAACAAGTGTATTGAAAAGGATGACATTCCTAGGGTGGCTCTAGACAGGGCTCTGAAATGGCTGTCAACTTGAGGATGCAAGACAGTTTTCTATAACTGTAAAGTGCTTAATTTTGTTATAGGAAGCCTTGTTCAAAAGTTCATAAGGTATTCAGAAATAAGCTACTAGTGGTTTGTGTAAAAGGATAATATTCTGAAGGAGTTTTCTTGTTTCTGTTGAGTATATATGTGCGTGGCAGATGGGTAGTCCAAGAATTTTCACTGTAATTCTCTCCTGTATTGAAGTAGCAGCTTTGAATAATGTAACTATACTTTCTTTCTAGACACAGCTACTCTAGAATATACAGTACTGTCTTCCTGAGTTGAAAACTGGCTTGTTTTTAACCAGGGCAAACTAGTAGGATTTACACTTCAAAAACACTGTAACTGTTTTTAAAAAACTAATTTTTCATCCAAATTATTTGCAACTGCTTTTAGGCTTATGAAATTACTTTGTTTCGATATATATCTCTACAAGAGTTTATATTAATGCTTTCAGCTAAGTGAACTGAAATCTAGCTGTTCTTCTCAGCCTCTCATTCTGAAATATACTATTTCTCCTTTCTTTTAGCTTTCTTTTCCTTTCTGATATTTGCCTAGAACAAAGAAAGACTATCACTTTTGCAAGGAATTGGTAAGAGCTACTCAGCAGAAGAATTCAGTCTGTGAATAAGTGGAGATATCATTTACATTTTGGATGAGTTCAGTGACAAGTAATGATGCTGACTCTGTTCTGAAATAATCCAAGAGTCATAGAGGAAAAAATGAAGTATATAAAAATATAGAATTTCAGTAATTCTGCATGGAAATGCCTAATTGTTGTTGGTTTGAGGGGAAAATTGTCGATAGTTTGTTGTATCCTACCTCATTTTTCAGACAACATCATGTACACTACACGTCCTCTCCTCTGTTTTGTTGAAGGTGAACATGGTGATATAATTGAGTCTCAAGGACTTTGAGCTCAATGCTCAAAGGTGTTTCTTGTGGGGTTTACTTTTTCTCTTGACGCTGGTTGTTTATTAAAACTTTTTAGGAGATACTAAGTTTTTTCTTTCATGTCCTCAGACTTCCTCTTTCCTCTTGCCTGAAGTAGAGCTAAGTTGTCTTTGCTTCTAGTTTTTTGAAAGGCAATTGCATCACTGCACTTCTCTTTCTTTTCTCTACCTGTCTGTGGCTAGGCTTAATTTCATGTCAGGGCTCAATATGTGGCATTTGAAAAGCTTGTTTATACCTCAGAAAGTCTTCAACTGAATTGTCTTGGGGACCTGTAGATTCACACAAATCTCTGATGCTTTTCAGGTGTTATAAGCTAACACAGTTGAGGAGAGGAAGCACATCATTTTTCTGACCCTTGAAAGGAGAGCATAGCTCTGTAATGGTTCCCCCCAGCTAATCTGGTAGGACTCTTATTTTTATATTTCTTGAAACCTTTTTTTCTCCCCACTAGTTCTGTGACTTCATGTACTTGATAAGTTTTTTAAAAATCCATTTCAAATCCCTTTCTGTCCCTGATGAAAAGATACACAATGTAGATATTTGTTTTTAAAAAATCACATTTTGTATGGGAAGGAGTTACTTGCAGCTAGGAAACTGTAACACTGAGGAAGGATGATTCACAGACATCTGTAAAGTCAAGAAATCTAGTTAAAAGTTCCCCACACATGAGCTGGTACTGATGTCAAGCTAGACATGATTAGCTCCTTTTTTCCAAATACAGAATGAAATTGGATGCTCCTCTACAGAATTGCAAACTGATGTAAAAGATGCTTGTTTCTGTTGTCTATACTATTTGCTGGGAAAATTTGTTTTTAGAAAATAAACCTTTGAAAAATTCCTGTTAACGGGTGTCTGGGGAATGGTCTTACTTTCACCACTTAATAATTCTTCTTTGAGTTGTGGTGACTTTTTTGAGGTCTCATCTTTACTCTAGTTTCCAACAACCACATGATTGCTATGCAATCTGTTTTTTTACTGGGTGTTTTCCTGCTGCATCTGAACTAGTTTCCTCTATGCATTCACTGTGGCGTAGAAACTCTTCTTGATTAATGTTGTGGTCTGAAAGAGATTTCTTTGGGGTTTAGTTTCCTTTTTATTTGGAGTTCTTTAGGCTTGAAAGTACGTAAGTAAAGTAGGAAGCTAGCCGTGTATGTTACCAGATAAGTTTGAGAACTGGTGAGCTAAAGGCCTAGTGTAAGGCTGAACACTTGTGGGAGGATCAAGGCTTGCATTTTTGCTCAACTTTAATCATGAAAGAAACACAGTTTTCAGTATTGCTCTTAACCAGTTAGAAAAACCCATGGGCAGCATCAAGCTGGTGTTTGAAGTTTCAAACAGTGGCCATTACACTTTGGCCTAACATTGTATACCTTTAGAGGAGCAGAAATGTAGGATTTAATACTTTTTATAAAAGCTTATTTAGGTTGGGAAAAATCCCTTTCTTCTGTGTCCAGTACCAGATTTAGTAGCCAACCTGTGTGATGGAGCAAGATTGGTGTTAGGGTTCTGCTGGCATCTCTGCCAGCCCTGCTGGTATTCAGCTGTTTGAACAGCCTGGAAGTGAGTGAGTGCTGAGATGGAACAGTTTCCTTGATAATTGAGGTATTACAGATAGAGCCCAAGTGTGAAGCAGTGGAGAAGAATGAGAGACTGAATGTGTGTTAAAACAGATTACATTCAATATAGGCAAGTGTGGCACGATGCGGTTTTTAGGTGTGGTGGAAAGAAAATTAATCCCAGTCTTGTATAGACAAAAACTGAGTGGGAAATGATTATCATTGCTCAGTGGATTCTTGGGGTTATAGTGAATGTTACTGTGAGTGATCAGGTTAATATTGACAAACACAGGACAGAAGTGTTGAGAAAGGGAAGAATGGAGAACCTCATTATATAGCAAAAAAAATCCATAATTTCTTCTTCTCTGAAGTACTATCAGTTATTTCTTTTTTCTTCTCCCTTTCCTCATCCTGAAAAAGGATGTAGTAGAACTGGAAAATGCCTACAGAAGGGCAAGAATGATTAGAGATATGGAATGTCTCTTCAAAGAATGGTTTAGAAAGAGCTGCTTCCGTTTCAAGATACATGAGAAGTATGTGGGAGAGAGCGAGCATTCACTTTTTTGCTTCCAAAACAAGAACCAAAGGGTTTCAAATTAGGGTGTAGTAGTTGACAAGTCAAAACCAAAGAATATTTCTTCACGCAGTGTGAGGCTGTGAAATGTCTCACCACAGGATGTTGCAGTGCTAAAACTCAGGTCAACAACAACCAGCAGAGTTCATGGGTGAGAAATGCCCTGTGGTGTTTCTACTATTAAGCTGCCATCTCTGGTTCAAGAAGTCCAAAGAGATTGATTTGGATTAGGATCTTCATTTTCTTGCCTTTTTTTTTTCCAAGTGCCATCTCCTTTCTGGATGTTGTCAGAGAAAACGAGCGACAGAGGAGAGACTTTTGGTCTTACCTGGTATGGTCACTCGGATCTTCATGTGGAAGTGTATTTGGTGTTTAAATTAGCAATGGGGACCTATGATTCAGTCTCTTTAGAGAGTAATTGATAAAATTAAGGTAGGAAAATACCCTTGCAGACAGTGTAATTCAGGCTTCTGCTTGAATCTGGGCTAACTTCAATGTGAGTCTGAGTTGCTCAGCATCCTGCCTAATTTTGAAAGTTTTCAGGGCTGGAGATTTCATCACCTTTCTGGGCTGCTGTTCAGTGGTTACCAGCTCTCCTGGTTGAAATACTTTCATTATTTTATGCCCAGCTAGAATTTTCTTCAGGTCCAGTTGCCAACTCTGCCTCCTCCTTTTTTGCTCTGTAACTCAGAAAAGTCTGGCTGGCTCTTATCTCTGACCTTCACATTTAGGTAGTAGAAAGCTTCTATCAGATAGTGCCACTCCCAGCTCTCTGCAGCCTTCCCTTCTGCGAGTGAAACAAGCCTGCTGCTCTCAGCTTCTCTTGGATTTGTTATCCTCCAGCCAGCTCACCATCGTGTGGCAGCTTTCTGGACTCTTTCCAGTTTGTCAGCATCTCTTTAGTGGGAGGGGGGGAAGTGACCTGAAAACCAGACTCAGTATTCCAGATGAGTCTGCATGAGTGCTGAGCATGAACAATCACTCCTCTCAAGCTACTGCCTTTAGTCTTGCTAAGGCAGCCTGGTGTGTGGTTAACTTTCATTGCCACAAGGGTCTGTTGCTGATTCATGCCCAACCTGCTGTCCATCAAGACCTCTGCATCTTTTCCTGCAGAGGTGGTCCTAGCCAGTTGTTCCATAGCCTGTGCAAAAGGCTGGAGTGGTTTTGTGTCAGGTGCAGGGCTCTGTTTTTTTGCCTTTGCATTTCATGAATTTCTTGGTGTATTTCTCCAGCTTGTTTCTTCTGAATGGCAGCTTTGCCACCTGGTGTTGTCCAGCACTCCACCAGCTTGTTGTCCTCTGTGAGCTTTCTGGTTGTGTGCTCCATAGTGCAGATGGTTGAAGGCTGCCATGCCTGCAGTGAGGACTAGAGCAAACAGTCATAAGCTGAGATGGAAGATTCAGAATGGATGTTAGGAGATTTTTTTTCACTGTTAGAGTGGTCAGGCGCTGGAATAGGTTGCCTAGGTGTTTAAGAGGCATCTGAGTCTGGCACTGGAAGATAAGGTTTAGGGGTTACAGGAGATTGGCAGATTAATGGTTGGACTTGATGATCTTAGAGCTCTCTTCCAACCCTGACAATTCTATGAACATGACACACATGTTGAAGCTGATAACATTCCTTGGGAGTCAAGCAGTACTTGGAATTGGCCAGCAGGAAGCTTTTGAACCAGTGACCATTATTGTTAGAGCCTGGCTGTCCAGTCAGTCCCTGGCCTGTCTTGTATTCCAACCTTCATCCATGTCTCCCCAGTTTGCCTCCCACTATACCTTTGTAGCCAGTGTCAAAACCATCACTAATACTGGCATGAAAAGCTGCCAGCACACTCCTGCCGTCCCAAGGTAGTAATTTCATCACTGAAAGCAGTGTTGTCAAGCTTGATTTGCTTATGGCAGATCTGGGCTGTTTATTCCTAGTCGCCTTTATGAGCTTGGGAATGGTTTCCATATGAATTTTTGGTTTTCTGTAACTTTCCTAAGAACTGAGATGAGTCAGACTAGCCTGTAGTTTCCATGATCTTCCAAGTTCTCTTTTTGGAGTAGAGACAAGAAACTTGCCCCTTTCAGTCACGGACAACTTTCTTGGTTCACCATGATATTCTGGCAGTGGTAGCAGTTTTGCAGTATCTTCCATGAGCTCCTTCAATCCCTTCTGCTCCCATGTACCTGTGCATCTTCAGCTTGCTTTGGACTTCTTATGTGAGTAGCACCTTTCTCCCCAGAGTCAGTTGCTCACACGTGATAAGGAAGGCCTAGAAGACCTTACCAGTAAAGACAGAGAAGGCATTTAGAACTGAGACTTGGTCCTTTGTTGCTAGATCACAATTCAGTTCTGTAGATGCTTTTCATTTTCCTTATGCTGTTCATGTGTCTATAAGGCCCTTGTAATTAAGAGTTACTTATTTAAACTCTAGTTGAATGGAGTGGATGTGTACATTGGCCACGCTGGTAACAAGTGCTGGATTTTTAGCTGTGACTCAGAGTGCTTTTCCTCCATCGTGGCTGGAGGACTGTAACCTCTGCAAAGAAGACCTTGCCACAGTTCATGTTTCTTTTGTTACGTTGTACTTTCTCCCAAGCAGAGAGCCCTTCAGCAGTGTATGTATTCAGTTTGTTTGGAAGCCCCAGGTGCTTAATGAGTGAGTGACTGTGTCACAGAAGCTTTGAGAGTGCAAAAAGGCTAAAACTTCGCCACATTCTCAAAATGCCATTATGCTGCTTAATAGAATTCAAGGTGCTAAAACAAGCCTAAGTCCAGTCTGGTTGTCTGACTTCCACCTAAATGCCATTGAGGTAGCAAAGATTTTTTTTAAGCTTTCATCACTATAATTAATGAACTTCTGTGAGGGGGGAAAATAATTTGCATTCTCCTCTCCCATTTGATACTGTTAAGGGCTATAGATGGTATGTTCTTACCTCGTGTTCTAAAGCCAGTTTGCTGTGGCCCTGTAGAGTAAAGCATAGGCAGAGGTGAGAGCACTCTCAGCAGCTGTTTCTGTGTATCCAGTTTATGGATGGAATACTAAGTGTGTGGATGTAGATACATTAAGAAAACCTTAAGCAGAGAAGTTAATCTCATCAAAATGTTGATAATGAATGCAAATGCAAAATGAATACATTCTAAGTTGCTGTGTAAAGGATTGACTGGCTTAGAATCATAGAATGGTTTGGGTTGGAAGGGACCTTAAGGACCATATAGTTCCAACCTCCCTACCGTGGACAGGGACACCTTCCTCTAGACCAGGTTGCTCAAAGCCCCATCCAACCTGGCCTTGAACACTTCCAAGGATGGAGCATCCACAACCTCTCTGGGCAGCCTGTGCCAGTGCCTCACCACCTTCACAGTAGGGAGTTTCTTCCTTATCTAACCCTGCCCTCTGTCAGTTTGAAGCAATTCCCCCTTGTCCCATTGGTACATGCCCTTGTCCAAGGTCCCTCTCCAGCTCTCTTGGAACCCCTTTAGGTACTAGAAGGGGCTCCCTGCAGCCTTCGCTTCTCCAGGCCGAACAACCCTAACTCTCCCAGTCTGTATCCATAGCAGAGGTGCTCCAGCCCTTGGAGTATCTTCATGGTGTCCTCTGGACTCCCTATACTGGAGGTTCCAGGACACTGGACACAGGTTTGGTCTCAGGAGAGCACAGTAGAGGGGCAGAATCACTTCCCTCAGCTTGCTGGTCACACTTCCTTTGATGCAGCCTAGGATACAGTTGGCTTGATATTATTTTTATTCCTGTAAATACTTATTTACAGACTGATAATAAACACTTGGGAAGTGTATACAGTTTGCTACCCATCAGGATACAATATATGGAAGCATTTAATATGGGCTGGGTTTTTTCCAAGTGTTAATATGCATTCAAAAGACTCAAGAAAATGGAATCACTTAGTAAATAAGTGGCTTATTGAAAATTTCTTTTGATGAAAATATACTTAGTATTAAATTCACTATATTTAAGGGGATTACAAGTTAAATTTCATGTGGCCTGTGAAAAGAAAGATTCCCTACCTGCCCAGTTTGAACAGTCTTAGCCACTTCATGATTTTAGAACTATCAGTCCTGCTCTGGTACCTTATTCACATTCAAGGGCTGGAAGAGGACTGTGTTTGGGCTGAAGGCCAGATAGTTGTAATACAGTTGAGTTCCTAAGTGTAAGCTTAAAAACTGCCTCTGGTGCTTAGCTCTGCAGTTTTCTACTCCTGCTCAGCTGAACAACCAGGGTATAGCTCACATGGCAGTCCTTCCTCCTCTTCCACCAGTTCAAGCTTGTAGGCCCAGAAGGATTCTTTCCTTAGTCTTGTCTCCATGAGAGGTTGTTGGAGCATGTTCTGGGACAGCACACCAGAATTTTCTGGCTTTCTGAGACCAGAGTGAAGTAACTCCTGAAATGAAGGAAAGATTTGGTTCGGGTTAATCAGTTGTCTCTGCCTTTCTGTGAGCATTTACCACCTGCAAACAGTCATGCTAGAATGGCAGAAGCCTCCAGCCAAGCTGACTTTCTTTCACATCACAGTAAAATTTTCATCTTGGAAGAACTTGTCACTGTAATTTTACCCCTTGTGAAGCCTGTTCTAACTTCAGTCAAATTCCTTTTCACTAGATTTAAGTTTGACCTGTTTTAGTACTTGCTTAGGTTGAATAATGTGTCTGCAGCTGTGGAAGCTGATGAACAAAAGGGGCAGAATCTATTCAGTGACACTGGATTTAAATGTGCTGCCCACTAATATTTTACAACTCTCCTTTGTGTCCTCTTGTATGTTCACGGTATGAGCCATCTGGGTGTGGTTTTTCAACCTCTAACTAGTAGGACAAGTTGGTATTGTGCTTTCACAGAATATATTCTGGTCAGTACTTGCTGCTGATTCTTCTTTTTTCCTTAAGGTAGTACTTCCCTAGGCTGAGTTCTGTAGGTGGCTCTTGTCCTTAAGGAATAACTGTATAATTCAGGCTTGGTCCAGAGTGCTACTGGCAGGAATGATTCAAAGTCTCTAACAGGCTTGTAGCAACTAATGATATGTAAATTTTGCACCTGTCTCTTGATCTAAAAGTTTGGTGTTTACTGTTTTCTAACTATGGTACCTGAAAATTAAAGTGAACCATAATTAAGAATTTTTAGAATTACATTGTCCACAGATATTTTTTTATGTTCTCCTTCCATTTCCTTTCACTATTGGAGGAAAAAATACCAACTTTTTGGTACAGTGCTGTAACGTTTGAAGATTTCTGTGAAAAAGCAAAGCAGTGCTGGGGAACAGAATCTTGTGGAGCTGTAGGGTAACAAAAGAACCAGCAGATCAAGATGCAAAGTTGAGATAAAATGCAGCTCTGTAAGGAGTGTAGCAGTTGCCATTTCTAAGTTTTGGCATTCATGGAATCTAGTCCTGTAAAGTAAGTGTAACAGCTATACCTGGATACGACTTACAAATATACTCTCCTAAAAACTGCTGGCTCTATAGTGAGAAACAAGTGCCTGTGCAAATTATGAAGGTCTCTGGTAAAGAGTATTTACTGTCAGTTTCAATTATGCAAGTAATTTCATTGTACTGTTAAAGCAGTTTCCCTTGTTATGGCACACTAAAGTTATGTTTCACAATATTTTCACTTTTATTACTTTCAGAGTATACAGTTCAACTCATAGCCTCTTCCACACAGGATATTCACAGATTTTTTTTTTAGGGTAGGAGGCGGGAAAAGATAAAACAGTATTTAAAAACCTATTGCACCTAGACACATTCTAAATGATATATAATGATGCCAGCTGAAATTGAAAGTCTAATTCTTCTAAATGTCATGTGAACACAAACTGTGCCAGGAATCTGCAGGCTAAAGAGACAGAGCACAGGAAATGGGAGCTGTTGCTGCTCTTGTGTGCAGATAAGGAACTAGGGAAAAGGGAGATTAAACTGAGACTTTCTTCAGACTGACTCGATCTGTGTCCAGTTCAACAGACTGCTCAAAATTTAACAAAAGCACTTTCTGTAGTCAGAAAGATACCTCAAATCACTAGTAGCTTCTGAAAAGTCTTGTCTGATGTAGCTTTTCGGTGTGTCACGGAAAGCTGATTAGCAAAATACTTGCAGAGATGTTTTTCATTGAACAGTAAGAAAAATGCAGAGGGGGGAAGGGAAGAAATTGTCTTAAGGCTCTCTGGCATCAAGTCTTGGAAGAGTTGGAAATAAGTTTCCATGTTCAAAGGCATGAGATGTCAAAATAATGGATCCCCAAAACATTCATTCAGTTGTGCTCTAAAATATTTTTTTTCTTTTTTCTTTTGTGGAAATGGAGAAATAAGAGTTGAAGTTGGAATATGAGATGGCTATAGAGATTACTCAGTGGGTGTTGAAACCTATTAATTGTGATGGTTTATGTGGCTTGAGTGGGTGCAGTGCTTGGATTTTAGGGCAAGATGTATATGGGAAGTAATTGTTTTAGCTTGGTGCTTCCTGTGGCAAAGGCATTTGTTCAGGTCTTAGTTTGAGATGCCAAAAAACATTAAATAGATAATTTCAGTCTTCCTGAGAGGAAGGGGAGCCCTTTCATATCTTATCAGGAGTATCCTTGTGTTCCATTTCTGTTACAAATAAGAACAACCTATTGTGGGTCATGCACAGTCTTGGAAAGCAAGTGCTTTGGCTGATCTTCCTTACTCTGGACTAACTCTGTTCTCTAACAGGGAATCACAGTGATTATGTAGTAACCTCTTCGCCAGTAGAGCCCAAATGGATTGTGGACCCTGTGAATATTTTCTTGCGTGCAAGAGGAAAGTGGAGACCTTGATATAAATGATTAGAAGTTATATGCTTGAATGATTTGTAATCAAACATATGTGTGATATGTTCCAAACAGAACTCTGATTTGTGTTTCCTGTTTTACCTTTAACATGTATAATCAGATTGCTAGCTAAATTATGCCTTTGATTAATGGAAAAGCAATCAAAATTATTATATCTACCTGAAAGACATTCTCATGGGCTTTTTCAAGGTAAAAGATAGGGGTGAATTAAGTGTGGAACATGGAATGTTTTTAGCTCTAAAATTTCTGTTTCTGTGAAGTAATAGAACTTGCTGTCTGAATTGTTTATGCTGTCTCTGTAGTGGAAGCAACGTGACAGGAGCAGCTTAAGCTCTCCCTAAATTATTCAGTACCCTAAAATTTGACCAGGCTGTAGACTACTTCCATATATATGTCCTTAGTGGCCATCAGTAGCAGTTTTGGTAGGACTGTCCCATAAAGGTGTGGGACAAGTAGGACAGGAGGCCTCCAGGAGTGGTTGATATTTAAGCCCAGGGATGGAGCCTTAGAGGAATTTAATGAATTTAGCCATGCAGTGTAGGCTTTTTTTGCTAAAAGAAAATTTATGTGGAGTTTCTCTTAACATTCATATAGTCCTAGTGGAAGTAATATTCAAAAGTAGCCTTTTGTGGGCAGTAGTAGGTAAGAGACCTATTAGATTTCCTAAATAACTGTTGGTGTACTGTGTATAAATTTTTCAGTAGCCTATGTGCATTATACATGCTTTCCCAAAGGCAACTCTCTCTTCTTTAATGAATTCCTAAAGGAAAGAAATGTAAACTTAAAGTTGTGTTCTGAAGGGTGATCTCTTAGTTGCAGTTCAACTTGTAACTTTCCTTTCCTAGATACTCATTTGTCTTTGCTTTCTGTTGTCCCTGGGCTGTTTCCATCAGTGCTTGCTACAGCCAAAGCAGGATAGGTGAAACTGCTATCGGAAAAGAATCTGCAGCATTTATTTCCTGGCATTGTTTTCTCATAATCTTTGAAGTGTTAGCTCCTAGCTGAGAGGCCTTAATAAGGGCTTTGATATGGGAAGTCAAGTTCAATTCATGACCTTTAACGTCCTGGAACAGAGGTGTTCTTTGGACTGTATCAGATGAAATCATCAGTCTTTCTAAACTCTAGAGGACCTGACTTTTTAAATCTCGGAATTTCTAATGACTTGATATTTCTCATCTAGGTGCCATATGAAACACTGAACAAACGATTTCGAGCTGCACAAAAAAACATTGATCGAGAGACCAGCCACGTTACCATGGTGGTGGCAGAGCTGGAGAAGACGCTGAGCAGTTGTCCTGCTGTGGATTCAGTTGTTAGTCTCCTGGATGGAGTAGTTGAAAAACTCAGCGTTCTGAAACGCAAGGTAAGTGGTGTAATACCTCGGTTGCTTTGTCTTTGCAAAGTGAACTAGTTTGCTGCAGTGCTGTTTGCTTGGATTTTGTTTTCAAGATATATGTGTTACTGGTACTTGGAATGTACAGCAAAACACCAAAACTTAGTGTATCCTGCTTCACTGTGTGTATGAAACATGACTTGGTGTTCCATGACTAAGTATAACCAACTTCTGCTGAGAAGTAAAATTAATATGTATTTATAGTCCTGAACAGGAGTTTTGCTACCCACAGAAAAGAAATAGTAGTACAATTAATTGATTTGTATGAATTCCTGTTTGCCTAATGGAAAGGTTTGTGCAGTTGCATTAATTGATCACTTGAAGAGCAAAACAGGTAGAAGATGAAACTGAAAAATGTTTAAGTCCCAGTGCAGAGGTAGTTGTATGCAGTGTTGAGGCTTCTTTGCAGAAGAAGTTGTCCTGGATTGTTGCTTGAAATTTTTTTATAAGCACTGGACTTGCAAGTTGAAAGGTTCCTAGGGAATATTATTAAGAGCCTTTTAAGCAAAATTTGGCAGGATAACCTGCTTCTAGGTGTTAAGCTTGAACGAAATATTGACAGACTTTCATACCTTTACCACATTTTTCTTAGAAAAGAATGTATATGTTCTTCAAAAAAGAAGTATAAGCTATCCTTATTTTAGATTGGAATATAACTCATCCTGAGAGTCATCAGAACACTTGCTGGAAACAAATTTTGCAGAAAAATGAAAATAGCTTTGTCACCTGACTTTAGAGCAGTTCTACTCCAGAAGTAAATAGGTGAAACACAGTAGCAGAGTCATTTCATTAAATCTTAACTGAAATAACCAACAGATATAAATCTTGAGACAATATTAAGCGAAGCATTGAAATACCTTGGAGGTTTGTAACATGAAAATAACACTCTCATGTATGTTGATTTGGGGTTTTCTGCTTGAACAGGTTAGCTAGGTGCTGAAAAGCTGTTCTGCAAAATACTTCATAAATTAATTGCTCTTTTCATCTTTGGATTGTGAGACTTAGAGGTCTTGAAGGATATGTTTTCCTTACTCCCTGTTACTTACAGAAAGAAATAAGTGCTATTTCTGAAAGAGGTGTTGGATTTTGCTTGTAGGTGTGTAGTAATGATGTGGAGGAGTAAGTTATTTACTTGTTAAATCTTTGCTGACTGTGGGGGTGTGTCTGACGGCATTGCTGAATGTTTTGGGTGCAAACCTCCATTTTAGAGTAATTGCTCATTTGTTTTTGACTGCCAGAAAGACTCTGGGGAACCTTATAGCTGCTCAGAAAGAACAAAAGGCCAAAAAAATTTGTTTTACAGTAAAAGTCTTCTGAAATACAAAGGTCTTGTTTCTGCTCCAAACCCTCAACTCCCAACTGTCTTTTCTGTAATCTCTGCCCCGAGCAAAATGATTGTTTTCTTTAGGGCCTTTGGACCCATGTGGGATCTCTGTTTCCTCCTGTGTTTAGACAAGGATCTGATGAACTGCTGAGATGGCCCTAATAGAATTAGATGGTTCCTTTATTTAACACCTTACTCACTCTTAAAAGAGATCTTTCCAACGCAGCAGGTTTCTTAGGTTCTGAAAATGATCCTGGGGAAACCTAGGCCTTTGTGGTTTTCCTTTGTATCCTGTTTAATATGCTTGTTCCCTCAAGTTCTATTTATGTCCAGCAGGGCAAGTCCAGATAGACTTGTTTCAAAGGGTTTTGAAAAGGATCTGTAGCTTTTCTGAATGCACTAGACAGATCAAAAAAACAGCAAGAGCTGTAGAAGTCCAGATACAAAACCATGTAAGGAGAGCCCTTTGGAATGAGAAAGGGTCTAACCTTTGTGCCTGGTTGCCTTGAATTCTCTTGGTTGTATACAGGAAATTTCTCAAGGATTCCTTCACATCTGATAATACTGCTGACATCTATAAAGTGAAAGTGAGTTTTGGCTTGAGTTAGTGTTTGCTTGCTGAATAGGAAAAGACTCAGCTTAGAACTTAAACAAAATACTTGTCTCCAAACTGTGTGTTACAAAATAAAGCTAAATTCAGTTACAGAAGTAACTCAGACTTCAGTAATAAAAATAACTCAAGCTGCAGATGTTTATATGAATTTTAGTAGAAGACTCTTGTGTAGTGACTAGGGGTTGAGATAGTTGAATTTGGTATCAAGGGCCAGGCTTAACTGGGGCAAATGCTTGGTAGGCTTTTCTTGCACAAGTTTTCTTATTTCACTTTACTTTTCAAATGCTGATCTTTCTAGAAGTCTCTATATGAGCAGGCATGGTGTAAACACAATTAGAACCAACCTGTGCTTTCAGAGCTGGAGCTCTTGTCTAAGGGTGTTACTGTAGCCTGAATAGCTTGAGCACTGGGAAGGTCACCATGTCAGTCAGCACAGAGTGATACATGGGCTGCCGAAAGCCTGCACAGGTTCCTTGGGCTGTGCTTGGTTGGCAGACCTGCATGTACCTTCCTGCTGCCAGAGCTCTGCAGTTTTGCAAACTCAAACCAGTGAGTTTAAAGTCACCACAAGGCAGCCCAACCTGAAATTGCATCACTAGTGATACACTGCAGATGGGAAAGGCCCGAACCATTGTCTGCTGGTTTGCTTTTTCCTCAGTAAGCATCTAAAGGTACTGCAAGCTTTCTGGAGTTGTGCAGCCTGGCGTGACCCACAGCTGCCACATGCTGTGTACTGAGTCAGCAGGCTTGGAATGACGAGATGTCTGTCATGAAATTGCTTGGTAAAATTGGCAGCATAACTAATCAGCCATGTTCCTTTAAGGCTGAAGGTAACCTAGTATGACCTGAGGGGGTTTTTTTTAGTTAAAAAAAATACTGTGGAGATACCTTGGGTTGTGTGTTTTGTGCTGGGTATGCCAGTATGTTGGTTTTAAGAAGTCATTCTGCTTCCTCTGGACAAATTTATTTTCCTAAGTAAGACTCCTTAACAGTAGATTCATGTTTCCACGGTAGCAGAGATAAGTAAAATCGTACCAGTTTAACAAAAGTGATGATTTTTGAAAAACTAAGGTGCTTGCATTGAAGGTGCCAAGAGGCCTACTGTTTGTATAATTTTCATTATTGCATGACTGATTAAAACGGCTCCAGTGTGTTAGAAGTAATGTGGGTTTACTGTGCATCACTCCCCAGTAGAACTAATTCACTAGGACAGCTGCTGGAGGAAGAAGCCGTGCATAGGTTAGAGGTGGAAATTTTGCTTTTCTGCTGTTTGGACCAGATGACTGCAAACCCTCACAAAGCTCTTTGCAGGCTATTACAGCAGTTGCTGCTGTAGTTGATACGTTGCTGGGTTTGAATGAAATGCAAATTAAACAGAAAAATGTATATATTCATAACTTCAAAAAAGTAAAATTATTTCTATGCAAGAATATCTCAGAGCTGGACCCTCCGCACTGAAACTTGGGCACTGCCAAAAGAAACGTGCAAGACACACTATGGGGGGTAACTGTATGCCATGTAAAGAATGCTCACAAACAGTTCTTACTGTATTTGGTGTTAAAAGGAGATGGACAATGTATAGCTCTTACTGTTGATTTTTACTTTTTAGGCAGTTGAATCAATCCAGGCTGAAGATGAAAGCGCAAAGCTCTGCAAACGTAGGATTGAGCACCTGAAAGAGCACAGTAGTGACCAGCCAGCTGCTGCCAACATGTGGAAGAAGAAACGTATGGATCGTATGATGGTGGAACACCTTTTACGCTGCGGCTACTACAACACAGCTGTAAAACTAGCCAGACAAAGTGGGATTGAGGTTGGTGGCAATGTGAACTAACTAACAAAATGGTAGTAAAGAGGAAGTTGACAAAACCAAGCTGCTTTAGCATTGCAGCAGTTATTTTTATTTATTATTGTTAAACTAATGATATTGATAAAGTAATGTTTATCTGTTCATCTTTTTAGGCTTGAGTTTGTTCTCCTTACTTGGCATGAATTGTATTTGAATAGATTAAGTCAAAAATGAAGGCATAATTTTTAGTCATAAATTAAGTGCTTTTAGATAAACACCTTGCTCTATTAAAACTTAGATTAATTCTCAAATGTCATACAGGATTTCTTGTCAGAGACCTTTAGGCTGCTGATTAAGCAGTTGGTAGAGCTTCCCATCTGTCTAGCCACATTCAGATGATACGTGTAGGTGACCAGACTGAGCAGAGCAGCATATGCTGATTTCAGGAACAACTGTTCTATTGTATCATCCTACTGTTTAATGCTTCAAGAGGAAAGGTGAGTCTTACTTGGGAAAATAAGTTATGATAGAATTTGGGGGTTTTAGTAGCCAGTATGTCTTGCATGGTCCACAGAAACATTTTGCTAGTTTATTTCACTGTTTTGTGATTGCTGCTTTCCCTGTTGATGGTTACCTAGTTGGTTTTGCTTTGATCTCACAGTGGCTTATGAAGTGTTTGGAGTTTTTGTACTTTGGTGTAGCTTCTTTATGCAGAGCAGTGAATCCACACTGTGGTCCTCATACAGCCCCAGGAACATGAAAAGTGGTTCTTTAAGAATATACTGGTTTTGAGATGTTTTGCTAATTTTAGGTAGCATTTGCTATTTGATCCTCAGTGATCCTTGAATCTTCAGTTCTTTTGATATTCCTGATTCCAGGAAGTATGCAACTCTTCTGGTTAAATCTTTCTCCTATAAAGATGCTGAGAGTTGAGTTGTATTATGTAACTTATGTACTTTGCCTTTCTCAGGTGGTGTAGTTGAACACATCTCTCTAAGCTAGTTGAGGGGAAAGAGATTTTTGTTATTGAGGTCAAATTAGAGCATATGTACTTGTCCTTTGTCTTGTAACACGAGTGTATCTGTCACATGTCTCTGTTATTCCTTGGCTGCTGTACTGGTCTGATCCTGTTCAACCAGCAGCGATTTCAGTACATGCCAAATAGGAAACAGCATCTAGAGGTTGAATGGAAGGGAGAGGGGAAGTGGGTGACAAAGTATTAATAGGAAATAGTCCTGAAGAAATCCACTGAAGAGGCTGCCGTGCCTCACTAAAGAAATAGCCCATGAATGAGAGTCAAAAAAACCCAAGGCAATTATGCTAGGATAATTGCAGCTGAATGGGCAGCAGCTCTTCAGTTCTGGTGGATGTTTCCCTCTGTTTTGGGCAGGAGCTCATCTCTGCTGAGTCATCATGTTACTGCACTTACTAGGTTTGCTGAAAAAGCACTATGGAAATCTTTTCACTTTCATAGCAAATTCTATTGTGCCTGATTAAGTAATGCTCAGCTTTGGTTTAGGCATGAGCATGGAAGTCTGTCATGATACTTTGTACCACATAGTCTTGCAGTGTATTGCGCTTGTGAAGCCTTAAAGCTTTTCATTCTGTTTGCTGAATAGAAAATTGTGGTTAAAAAAAAAGTTTTAAATTACATTATTTAACTTCTGCCTTCAAACCTAAATATTTTTATTTATATATTATATATATCATATATATTGTGCACTTTTATTTGCATCCAAGTAACTTGAATAACACAGAACACAGTTGCATGCTGAATGCAGTGAGGCCATATTTCTTCCAGTTTGCTCAGAATATGCATTTTAGTCAGCACTGAAGTTTACATTTTGGCTTAGTGCTAAGGCTTCCCTCAGTCTCTCAGCTTTGCACTCAGTCTCCCTTACTGTATGGTGATCCTCATTGTGAACAGCTTTTACAGTGTAACATAATGTGGTTTTGCTGCTTTAGTAAGACAACTCTGTTTCTTTTTGTTCCTTTCTTAGTGAAGGATGTGAGCAGTGAAACATTCTCTAATGCTCAATAATGTAACTTTGCTGGAGAGATTACAAAATCTCGTGGTATTCTCTCATCCAAAGTCATCTTTGTTTACTCTGGTCTCAGCTGTACTTCAAATCAACAATCCCACCACCAGTCTTGTCTTGATATGTCAAGACAATATTATTACTGCTGGGTAGAAACTGTACCCTAAGTAGGAACCTGAAGAAAGGTGGTGCTTTTGTTCAGTTTGTCCAGCAGCCAGAGGCTGGTGGGCAAGTTGAGCATGACCCAGCAGTGCTCTCTTTTGGCAGACAGCTCTGGGTTGCACTGGGATGATCCAGCCCCTCTACTCAACACTGGTTAGACCCATCTACAGTGCTGTATCTAGTTCAGGGCCCCCCAGCAGGCACACGGTGGGTGTGGAGTGTCCCTGTACTTGGAGATGCTCAAAACCAGATTGGGCTGGAAAAGATCCTAAGTAGTAATCTCTTGTAGATTTTGACCAGGGGGATGTCACAACTTCCAGAGGTCTTAACCTCAACTGCTCTGTGATTCTAGTCATATGACTGGAGGCCAAATGGCTGAAGTGCCCTTTGCCACTATTCGGGAATGCCAAGGGAAGCAGCTTTTTGTATTTCAGTTGTAGCTTGTGTATCCTGGGTTAAACATCTCTCAGTAGCTGTTAGACCAGTCTTGGGAGCAAGTCTCAGCCTGCTTGTTCTAAGTTTCTTGTGTGGCTTCTGAATGCAAAGAGCCCTTCAGGGCTGCTAAGGTGCTTGATGGGCAGCAGCAGTTCAGAAGGCTCTGCTTCAGTGACCAAAAGCAAACCATTAAATTATCCCTGTGTTTGAGCAAACTGTTTGCTGTATATTAGTGGCAGAGACTGACTGTGCACCACAGTGTCCAAGTCTAGTAGTTTTTGATCAGCTGTGACAAATTCTAGGCTGTTTTCTAAATTAATTACCTTCATAGGAATGGTAGTTTATGCAATCTTGTAATAGAAGATAAGCGCTTAAACACCATGCTTATAAACTAGGAAGCAAACAGAATGAAAATAAATGCTGGGTGTGAAAAATTATGGGGAATTTAAATATCAGAGTTATGAACTAGTTGAAGTAAAGGAATAACTTAGGGCATGCAGCATATATATACAGCATAATGTTACATGGCCATGTAAGAAACTCCAAACATGTGATGTGTGTGATATGTCTTTAAAGATCAGTAATGCTGCTTGGGGAAAGTAAACCAAAATGTGAGTAATATCAAAATGAAAGCTGACAGTCAAGGACCGAAATGTCATGTTTGTGCCAAAGTAAATATGGGGTGGAGGGAATTGTAAGTGTGAACTGGTTGGTTGTTTTTTGCTGCTTTTTTTTATGTCTTCTGGCTCCCTAATGATGTGAAAAACACTTTGGGTTTAAGATAGAAACTGAATGTTAAGTTTTTGTTACTGCACACAAATGAAGCTCATCAGTAAGTATCAGCTTGTTACACTTAATAATGATCTTATTTTGATTCCATTATGACCTTGGAATGCCACACTAATATAAACATGCATATTTTCATCTGCAGTTTCATATATTCAGCTAGCTGGCAAGGTGGTCTGTTAACTTCAACTTTGTATTCCATGTTCTGCTGCACAAAATGTAATCTCATTTCTGTGCCCTTAATTGATATGCAAATAGAGTTTTGCAAAGTGTTCCAGTAGGAAGTTGATTTGTGTTTGTAGATAACTTTATAATTAGGTTAAGTATGCAATGCTTTGTTTGCTGTTTCTAGGGGTGGTGGGTTTTAAAATGTCATGGTCTCTTCTACTCCCTTTCTTAATAGGTGTGGAAGAAAATAAGCATGTAACATGTCCTTACTTAATTATGTCCTTTGCTTAATTAGGTAGAGCTGTAGTGATTTTTGCCTGTAGGATGGAAAACAAACCCAGATCCTGAGGCTGCCAGTCTCTTGTCATGTGCTGTAAATCCTCTTTCTGTCTTAGTTTATTTTAGTAAAAGAATGTATCTCCTTGCCTTAAAGCTCATGCTATGCAACAGCTGTACAAGTGGCAGTGCTTTTCTATGAAGAACAGCATGAATTCAAACCAAGTTTCAGTGTTCTGGGGCTGGGAGCAAACGATTTAGAAATCTATAAACTATAGAGGGATAGAAGAACTGCTACACTCCTGAGGAGGGTGGGTGGTGGCACTGTAAGGTTGCAGTTGAACACCTGAGTTAAAATAACTCTTCAGTAGCATAAAACTGGTTAATTTGACTTTGCATCAGGGAATGTGCATACCAATTCAAGATCAGTAATTAAGTAGGTGCATCATTCTTCAAAGATACTTAGCTAGCCATTTGCATTAATACCCCAGTCTGCTTTTTGCTTTTGAGAATTGAGGCGAGGGGAGGAACCCTGAGTATTCCATTGACTTCAAAAGTTTTGTCTGGACATATGACCATTGCAAACATTTGATCTGTATTAGAAAGGCTTCTTGACAGTTTGAGCAGTATTGAACCAGTTGACAGCAGTCCCAAAAAGATGAAGTGGGAGATCCAATCTCTGGGTTTTGTCAATCATTTCCTTCTTGAGCAGAACTTGTAAATCTGTGGTAACAGTTATTCCCTGAAGGATATCAAAACAGGGCAGTTATTGCAAAGCCATTCTGAAAATATTTCATTATCTTTCAAACTAGTAAATACATTTATTTAAGAAAATTAATTTAGCTTAAATGAAATAAATAGTAGTCACTGAAAAGCTGATTATCTTCTGTTTTCCCTCTCTCCAATCTGGTCCAGATCCTCTTCACTACTGCATAAATTCAGCTTCAGTTTTCATAGATGGGAAACCATTTTGAAGGGATTAACCTAACTAAAAACAATGCCTGCAACAAATTCAAGGGTGTTCCACTGTCTTAATTTTATCATGGAAAGCCATGAAATCTTATCTGATATCCTGTGGGGTAAGAGAAGCTTGAATTCTTCAAGTCAAGCTTCATGGCTTTTAGCCAACTATCTGATCTCGTTTGTCCTGTTCTACAT